CATCTGAACAGAGACCATCAACTAGTGTCAGTTTGATGGAGGTGGGACAAGAATAAAATCAGCCTCCTTAAAATCAAATGGACTCATTTATGTTACATTATATTATATTATATTATATTATGTTACATTATATTATATTATATTATATTACATGATAAACTCTGGAGAGCATGACAATTTTCAGTAAATTTCATGGTAATTTCCATGTTTTCATGTATCTTCTGTGTAAGGGACACATTTTGCTCAAGTGTCACAAAAGAGGAAAGACTCAAAACTAAAAATGAAGAAAAACATGCATCACTGAAATTCTGGGATACTTACAGTCATCACCTGGTGTTGTAGGAGGGACAGGAGAGAAATCATCCAGACCCAATAAGTAAGGAAAAAAACATGTCTGTATTTATTTATTACAATATTATTATAATATTGATATTTCAGTAGTTCTTATATCTTTAAGACAATTTAGTTAATACATAATATAATGGAGTGAAGCACAGTTGTACAATGTTTGCAATTAGATGCTGTCAGCTCAAATAAATAAATAAATATAATCTAAAACTTGTCAAATTAATAGCAGACTAAAACATAACGTTTCTCATAAGGTGATAACAGTGAGGCTGGCCATGAAAAATAACATATTAGGGACTTACCTTGTGCTTTCACCTCATGAAAGGAATCTGTGGGAAAAACAGTGTCTTAACAAGAAATATATGCTCCAATAAATGATCAATAACTCCAGTGAAATGCAGAGTGATTAAAGCCTCTCACAACATTCAACAATATACAGTCTAATAATAACACAGTCCTGTCACCAGAAGAAAATGTTGGCATTTTACTTTGCAAAACACGGATATGTAATATTTGTACATTTTATATCATATCAACATTTCTACAATGACGTAGTTCAGACTACATGTATGTGAGCTGACTTTGTCAATGGGAGGTGAAGGGGGTGGTGGATGGCGAGACTATAGTGCTGTTAAAATATAAAGAAATGTAAAATGCCATCAGGGCAGGTACACATGTGACATATCCATGGTTTGCTGAAACGTATGATCCCAACACTTATTCTGGCAACTGGGTTGAATAACAACACATACAGGCTAACATTAATTTGATGCTTGCAAATAATAATGTACCCATATCAGTACACAACAAGCTATAAGACGAGAGATTTAACTCACACATGAGGATGACCAACAGCAGGTATCCAGCCATGATGATGATGCACAATGCTAAGGCTATCTAAAGACTAAACCTGTCTGACTCTGACTGACACTCTGAAGTTTCATTATGCAGAACCTGCTCTCAGAAAAAAAAACACAGCAAGCATCAGAATTTAAAAATACTATTAGACGAGCCGCAGAAACACAAACTGATCTGCCCCCAGTACATGTTGTATATTTAGATCTATGAGTGTGGTCTACCTGGTGAAGAAAGATAACAGAGAGGAGTTATATTATGATTTCTCTGTATTTTATTAGCAGTGGGAAAGATGTGTGAACAGTAATCACAGGCAGATCAACTTTGTCAAAGTGGTTATTGAAAGGACAGAAGCCAGTGATATCTTTGCCTCTTTGTTGTGAAAGGGGGAAAACTGTAGGCAAACAGTGTGACATGTCTATGACTGACAGTCAGGGAGGGATTTCAAGACAATATTAACATTTATAATTGAGGACAAACCCTGTGCAAATTGTGTTCATGTTTTTATCCAAATGAACCATCAAAATAAATACAACTCAAAGTCCCACATGTACTGTTAGTAGTGTTATGTTCTTAAACATTTCATTGACAAAACCACTGAATGCAAGCTCCGATATTACTTCTTTCTACACTGTGTTAAATGTATTTATCATTTGTTTATCATTACCTGCAGACTGTGTTCATGAAAAGAAAGTACAAGGTCAGTCCTTATATGTCAGTATACAGGGCCTGCCATCGCTGAGTTGTTAGCCTGTTTTCTAAGTAACAGTTAGGCTGTTGCAAGACTGCATAAGTATGTGGATATTTTTATCTACATTCAGTTCACAAGACAGGCCACACAAGAACATCAAAGCCACTACAAAGGCTACTAAAAAAAAAAGATCAGATAGAGGTCACATCTGTGCTGCTTGTTATCTGATGAGAACAGAAAACCACGTCTGGCAGCTACTGAGAGATTTTATTTCTGCACCTCGTGCTGCTTACTTTTAATCCAACATTTATGTGTTTGTTTTCTAAAGTTTAAAGACATTCTTGGCCTTTAATATTGGAAGTAGCATTTTGCAATTTAAAATGACACATTAAGAGGCTTCCTAAATGAGGTGGACGACACATTTCGCCACGATCCCTGCTGGATTTAATCACTGATAGTTTGCACCTGATGCTAATGTGATGCACCTTGTCTTGTTTTACCGGAAGAAGCTGCATAAAGACGGAGACGTGCGTGCTGTGCGGATGTATCCTAAATAGCATACTTTTAGACTTCACGTGACGTAGTTTTTATATCTTAAATTTACAATAATGGGTCCTAAAAAGCAAGCAGTGGACGCTGCTGATGCGCCTGCGCCCTCCTCCAGTGATTCCCCGGTGGAAGAGAAAAAATCAGGTCTGCCCGCTTTTAACTTTACATGGAGAGCCATGTGACTGTTTAACCCATTACATTTTAACTTGCAGTGACCAAAACTGTTAATCTTATCAACCTTTTCCCAACATATGTGTAAATATAAACAGGATATGTTTGCTCTCTAGGTGCCGCAGCGGTGCGTAAACTTGCAGCTCACCCATCCACAGCCATTATGGTGAGAGAAGCACTTAAAGAACTGGACTCGCGCAAAGGGGTTTCATCCCAGGCGATACAGAACTATATAAAACAGAAATACCCCTCAGTGGATCTGGTGAGGCTGAAGCACTTTGTCCGAAGAGCCTTAAAAAAAGGAATCGAGACTGGCACGTTGGTGCGTCCTGCAAACTCCAATGTCACTACAGGCGCAACGGGAAAATTTAGGGTAAGATGTCGTGTCTATAGCTTCAGCAAAGCGGGTCAGATGACGTGTCTAATCGGGCCCTTTTTTATTTTATTGTCCTGCGTTCAGCTTGCACCAAAGGTCAAGGAGACCAAGCCAAAATCCGAGAATGCTGATCCCAATGTGCAAAAATCGCCCAAAGCAGCTAAGGATGGAGCCAAGAAGGCCAAAAAAGCGGGTATGGATGGATCGGTGAACTCACTACAATCACTAATAATAAGCCATTAAGATGATTAATAACTTAACTTCTTAAAGGTGCCACCAAGAAGAAAGCTGCTGCCAAAGAAGAGGCCAAGTCAGAGGAGGTGAGTCAATGTTTGTGCTGAGAAACTGATGTGTCCATGTCACTGTATTATCTGGGAATATACAGGCCCATAGTGCGGCTGACGTTTTATTATTTGAAGATAAACAGGAGCTACTTGGTTTTACAAAGGTGTACAGCAGTGTAGTTCAGGCCAAGCAAAATTTGCAATTTATTTTGGGAAGATATGAGATTTGGTCAACAGTGTTCAGGCCAGAAACCTTAAAATTAAAATGGAAAATATCCAAGTTAATAAAAATTACAACTCTGGCTTTTTTTGCTTTGTTTTTTTTGTTTTTTTTTTTTTTTTTTTCTTAAAATTAAAATGGAAAATATCCAAGTTAATAAAAATTACAACTCTGGCTTTTTTTGCTTTGTTTTTTTTGTTTTTTTTTTTTTTTTTTAAATAGGACCCAAAGCCTCCCAAAAAGTCCAAGAAAGAAAAAGAGGCCGACACCTCAGAGGCTACCAACTCAAAGGTCGCTCCAGCAAAGAAGCCGAAAGCTAAAAAAGCTGCAGAGAAGGCGGATGGCAAGGGAGCCTCTGACTCAGCCAAACCTAAAGCAGCAAAGGCCACCAAGCAGGCAAAGGCAGGAAAGGCGTCTCCGAGCAAGGCTGCTAAAGCGGACAGCGACGCCCTTGCTGCTAAACCAGCTGGGAGACGAGGGAGGAAGGCTGCAGAGTAAATGTATAGTTAACTGGTGTTTTATACTATGTTGTTTTGAAATAAAAACTTATTTTTTGGAGCTCTTGTTTGTGATTTCATTTTCTGCATTTGGAGCATGATGCTGTATGTCTATTGTCGGGACACTACTGGAGCTTTAAGTAGAACTGGTGTTGACTAATAACCTACCACAGCAGCACAGACGGCTACAGGGAATTAAAGTAGCCTATCATTAAACTTAATTCACTATCAGTCATACTTGCGTGAAAAGGCAAATACAGGAACTTGGAAAAATACTTGAACCACAAAGTGACTTTGTATATAATTATTCACGTTGCCTTGAATTTGATGAAATCTTGTTTTTCTCTCATGCCTCCGTGATGAACAGAGAATCCAAAAAGTGGTACATTCTTAACGGAAGTAAATGGGGACTGATGACAGCAATTGTATCAAAACATGAATTTACTTTACCAACCCACAACTTTCACAGTGTAATCCTCCAAGTCTTATTTATCCAGTCATATGCTCAGTGCTTCCTAAACACTTTGCTTATTGGTAGCATGCACTGGGCAAGCATGTCTGAGCTCTGCCTGAGCAGAGTTCAAATGCATGCACATGCTCAAGCACGGTACTGGGCTGTGCATGAGACTGTTTGTACCAATGTGTTTTTAAATAGTAAGGTTTTGCTGAAAATAAATGTGAAGTACTCGGTGTACAACTGGATAAATGAGATGTGGATTATACTGCAGAGTGTGTGAGAACTTGCAAACACAATTTGGGGGGGGTAAGATATTTTTGCCTTTTATAGATGGGACAGCTAGGTGTGGGGGGGGGGGAATGACATGCAGCAAAGGGCCACAGGCTGGAGTTGAACCTGGGCCGCTGCGGCAACAGCCTTGTACATGAGGCGCTTGCTCTATCCACTAAGCCACCGACGCCCCCATTTTGAGAGTTTTGTTGTTAAAGTGGATCCCCTTTACTCAAATTCATGAAAGATTGATACACAAATGGTCATTTTGCAGGTGAACTATTCCTTTAATATTGTTTGGCTTTGAAACCACGTGGCAGCAACCCAGTCTATAGAATGTATAAGTTGACCTGTGATCAAATATTGAACATTTAGTTTTTTAGAGGTAACTTATATGTCAGTTTAGACTTCTGTCAGGTGATTTGTACTCAGAAGTAATGTGAAATATGAGACCTTAATGCTCAGGTACTGTCCTCTGCACTAGACTCCTGAAGAGATGTCAAAGTGATGCTTGCATTGAGACAGTTTTATTGATTGTCTCCCTTTTCAGGATGTTGAGTGCAGAAAAAGTAAACTGGATACTCTGAAATGGCATCCCAGTGCCCCCAGAGGAAGGAAAAGATGAGTACAAAAAGCAGTGTAGAAAGTGTTCGGCTGTATGTTCTCAACAAGGGGACGACACAGTTAGCCACTGTGGACACAAATACTAGAATGACTGCCATAACAGCCAGCAGCACACTGATAAGTTGTCCAAGAAGACTTCCTGCTGGGGCGTTCTCAAACCCTTCAAGCTGCATCACATGCTGCTGCTGCTGCTCCAGCTTGAAGAGACGTGTCTGACATGCCTTCAGCGCCTCCTACGGGGTAGAGACAAAACTGTCAGCGAAGGTGCTCTCATGACCAATCAGAGTAATGAACATATACAGCACCACTTATCTATAGATTCGTTTCATGGCAGATAATTTGACTTGTGCTCCTAGTGCGCCTATTCTCTATGCAATGTGCACAATGTTTGTACACAGGAATACTACCTGGCCCCACATTTGCTGTGTGATAATATGCTTCAACACAGAAATACACAGCATCTAACAAACTGATGTTAAGAATTAAAACTAGATTTTTACACAAGTCACTGCAGGAAAAGCACAGATGTAGCTTACATCAATGACTGTTCATTCCAATAAGCCTTAATGGAGCTGGCTCACCCAAATGTAACACAGCCAGTTTTAATGTTATGAGTAACACGTGCTTTTCTTGAGATGACATTAAAAAGTCTGCAGGAAAAAATACTGAGACGCTTACATGAATATCTGTCACGCTGTCGAAAGACTGATGTGCAGTCTTCTCCTCCATGCTGGCTAGTTCCTCTTTCAAGTTCAAAATTTCACTCTGGTATAGTTCTATCAAGTCATTGAGTTGTTCCTCTAAACATTCACCCCTGCAGAATAGTAATGGCAACAGCATCACAAACAGGACAGGTTCCTTTAAATCTACAGGGTACTACAGAAGGATGTGCTACCTGTATTGCTCCAATTGTAGGGTCTCCAAAATCACTGCGCAGTTTTGCTGGTGGTAGGATTTTAAGTTTTCAAAGCATTCCTCAAGTTGGTTGTTGATTTCCTGGAGCTCTTGGATCTCATAAAGTATAGCCTTAAAGGCTGATGCCTGGATATGGTCAGAGGTATTGTCCCTGGAGCTAGGGGATCCTCTGTGGAATCCTTCAGAGCCAGACATAGCAGAACAGCTATCATCACTGCCATACCTCAGGCTAAGGACCCTCGCTCCTGCAGGGCTGACACCCTCATCTTCCTGGGTTTCATCAAAGTCTTTCAGGGTTGCCATGTTGTCAGTGCTTCCAAACTTGTACAGATGAGGGAAGTTTTGCTCAGTTTGGACACAACAGCTCCAGCTGAAGGGAAAATGGCTAGAGAGAAGCTGGAGAGACCTGTCACCTGTATTGGGTAGGATAGGGTTAGTATGTAACTGCTACTGAAAATGCTAAAAGCCATAGTATTCATTTTTATATTACAATAGCATGGACTGAATTGACAATCTGACCACGATACCTGTACTCTGGTTTGAGCATAATATGGAGGTGTCCAACTTGGTCCCTTGGCCCAAATAAAATATTAACATGCAGCCTTTTAGTCCGTAAAACAGCAATTTAAAAATTCTGGGACTGTGTGTTTTTGCAGCAAAATACCGAAGGTACCAGGAAAGCATATATATCTTGACTCTTTCAAGCTTTTGTGCATGTCTTTAATGTCATGTACTGTAAGTCCCTATAAAGCTGTTGGCATACAGACATGTGACGAAGATTTCTAAAACAGTTAAGATGAATCTTACTTGTTTTAAATTAATAAGGCACTACATACCCCCACAGGCAGCCCAGCTATTCATGCATTCATCTGATTTTCTCAGTTTTCATATTGCGTGACAGTATGGGCTCAAGCATCACCACCTACAATCATACACCTTACATCTTTACACAATTAGACGCTGAAGATAATAGACAAGAAGCCTGTCCAGTGGCATCAATGTCACATATTAGAGCGATACAATCTTTTCAACTTTGACAGCTTCATTAACTTTTGTTTCCTGAAATTAGTTTTCAAATGTATCAACAGTCTAGCTCCAGAGCCTCTTTCCAGATTTATACAAAGACAAGACAGTCATTGTAAATCTAAATTTGGAGAATCAGCTTTTTCCATAATCTCTGGAACACATTACCAACTAAAAACAAACTGATTACAGATTTACAGTCCTTCACAACAAAGGTCAAGTGCTGGTTAAAAGCAAACCAGAGCTGTGTCCACTCTTAGGTAAATGCGCTGAAACTGTTAAGGGGTATTAGTCTAAGTGTTTTGGTGTATAGTGGTATGTCTACTGTAGTAGATGTGTCCTGGGATATGTAGTGATGTTTGTATTGTGGTATATGCACTGTGGTATGTGTATTGTAGTGTGTGGATTGTGGTTTATGTATTTTATTGTGCCCTCCATGCAGTTATATGATGTTTTAAACTGTATATTTTAGGTCTACATATAAAAGCTCAACTAGGGACGAGAGTTGAAAATTAGCAATAGCTATAAACTCTCTGTGCAACACGCCAGTCACATAGTCTGTATTGGAACTGTCCCTATCAAATAAAATAAAATGATAAATTTAAATTTAATTATATTAATAATTAATTATATTAATGCAATTTAAATTTAATTATATTAATAGGTAGATACTTACTTAGCTTAGGATTTATTTAAGTGACTACCAGTCTGTCAGGCCTCGATTATCTATCATGATGTGTCTCAGATGTCTGTTAGCGTAACGTTAGCTATCTTAGCCACTTGGAGTCGATCCGATATTTTCATTTGGTATTGATAATTGAAAGCATTTAGCGTTAAAGGTGTGGTTCTGTAAATATACCAGTGCTCTGAACATATTCGACCTTAAGTATGTAACCGTTGCGTCCGACATAAATCATGTAAACAGCCACATACTAACGACAGAGCGGTTTTTTAGTTCAGCTAAAATTAGCAGTTTGCTAAACTAAGCTAAGCTAACGTTCCATCGAGCGCTAACAGGTTTTCATGTTGCCTAGCAACGGTCAATTTTGAGAAAGTGAGTGTGTTAACTCACATTATACCTCAGGTCTGGGATGCTCTGATATTGATTGCCACCACAGTTGCAATTTTAATGTTATGCTAAGTTAATGTTGTCAATGCTAATTTTAGTCCATGTTGTTTGTCAGATAGTTAACCTTTACGGTGAACCTGAATGCTACAGAGGGAAGCTGGATGGAGGCAGACTTATTTACTGAACTGAATAGAGCTGGGTCATGTTTTGAAGCAGAAGTATGGTTTCTAGCAAGACTTCACCCACCTCCAAAATGCATGGAGAAGGAATTAGTCTTTATAATGTCCTGTGCACCTCTGGTCAGCCCACACAGGTGATTTTAATAACTGTGCTTGATTAGACCTCTTCTCAGGACTGTGTGGGCCGCACACTGTACTTACCTGACACAGCCCTGGCTCTCCTGTTGGCTCTGTTGCACCTGTTAGCAAAATAGTTGCTGATTTACACATCCAGCATATTCTTCTGCACCTGCACACTGGGCCCTCATCGACTGAGCCTTCACAGCCTACTTCAGCACACATCTCAGGTCCTTTAAGTGGCCCACCGAGCAATTCCAGTGAGCCAACACAATACTATGACCTCATCTAAATGTAACACAGCCATCATTAGTGTTATCAAATACACCTGTGCTTTCCCTCTGGAGGACAATGTATTAGCTGCTAGGGTCAGAAACTTCCAGAATTTATGCCTGTGATACTCTCATGACCTATTAAAGGTCCAGTATGTAGGATTTAGTGGCGTCTAGCATTGAGGTTGTAGAACTAAAACTCCCCCCCTATGCCAACTGTGAAGAACTAGGGTAGCCAATGTGAATGGCCCTATCTAGAGCCAGTGTTTGGTTCGTCCATTGTGGGCTATTGTACAGCATGGCAGACTCAGTGGAAGGGAACCCGCTTAGGCCCCCAGGAAGTTTTCGTACGCCAAACAGTGGAATTACAACTCCTGAGCATGTCATGTGATACCAACGGGCCCAAAAATAATTTTTCCCATATACTTACATTGGGAAAGAGACGCCTGGAAATCAGTCTATGTACTTTCTGTGCATCACAATCCCCACGAAAGGATTCATTTCACTATCAGAATTTAATGCATTCGGTCCGATAACATTTGTAAAGTCTAGAAGAGTCGTAAATTAAATAATTTCATCTCCATTCATGTTAGTAGAGCTAAAGCCTCTGGTGTGCTTGCTCTGTGGGCCCAATGATGCAGAAGAAGCGTTGATCATCTGGGTAAGTTCTTACCACAGAAAGAGTTTTTTTGGCTTCATGTGTAGTGTAATGTGTGATGTACAATTTAACAACCTCATGACTTTTAAGACAAGTTAGACTTTCAGTTTCACCTTAAAACAGCAAATTTATTTGTCTTTAAAAAATAAAAAAATCAACTAAAAAGTATTACTATTTCATTGTCACTAATAGAAACAGTACGGAAGCACTGAGTCTGTGAGCACTTTAACCGCTCTTCAAGTATGTTAATTCAGTTCATAGATTATTCTTCTGCAGTGGAAAAGCCACCAGGATAGTAGGATCCAGTTGGCCCAGAGGGAGGGGTCGCAACTCCAAACTTCAATGTTCCTAGTAATATCCTGGTTGTGGCAGAACCAGTGTTACCGACTTCACACATCCATAAGAAACAAGTCAAAAACCCACTACCATTTGATCCAGTGACAAGTCTGATTCCAGAGCAATGTAGCTGATGTGCAAGTACCCCGTTCTTCAGAGTGTAGTGAGGAGGAAGAGGAAGAGTTGGTCACACAAGCTGAAAGTTGAAAAGACTGAAAAACAGCGGACTGAAAAAACCAGAGTGGCGAGAGCGGAAGAGAGAGAGCTTACAAAAAGAGGCCGTGAGCAGCTAAATCAGCAGAACACTGTCAGCTCATTACAGTTAAAATTAAATAAAAAGCCATCAATCAGCTGTATTAAAAATAGCAGTGACGTCAAAACAATATCACTTGAATCAGCTCAAAAGTAACAAAACTCTGAATTACAGTTTCTTCTGTGGGGAAATAATGCAAAGTTCTCCACATGTAAACAAATTCACTCAGAAGAGAGAAATCAAGTGTGCAGTTCTCTCAGCCCCTCCTTCAAACATGCCCCGTTCACCCTTACGCGATGTGCTTGTGCCACAATTGCACCAATGATAGCAGGTCAGGCCTTTCCTCCACTTATTCTCCATTTGATGCATCTCAAAACACATTTCTGAAAGTGATAAAGTGACAAACCTCTGATGCAACCCTCCTGAGTGTTTTGAGAAGCTGCTGAAGGGGAAGAAAAAGGACTATTGAGATTCAACTCCCTGTATGGGTCAGTGTCCTCCCTTTACACATCAGCCCCAAACCCTCTGTCCCTTCATCATTTAAATAAGACTCCCCAAGCCGGTCATCTCGGGTGCAGGAGAAAGCGATGCAGATACTCCGACATGGCATCCCAGTGCCTCCAGAGGATAGCGAGGAGGATTACGAGGAGCAGCGTAGAAATCGTGCGGCTGCGTGTTTTCATTAAGGGGACAACACAGTTAGCCACTGTGGACACAAACACCAAAAGGACTGCCATAACAGCTAGCAGTACATTGATTAGTTTTCCAAGTAGAGTCCGTGCTGTAGCATTCTCCAAACCCTCAAGCTGCACCACCTGCTGTTGCTGCTGCTGCAGCTCCATCTTGGAGATACGTGTCTGACATGCCTCCAGCGCCTCCTACAGATCGGACACAAGACTGTCAGTGAAAGAGCTCTGACGACAAAGCTGAAACATAATGTTAATTTCGGTGAAGCTTACTTGAATGTCCCTCGCTCTTTCGTAAGACTGGTAAGCTATCTTCTCCTCCATGCTGGCTAGTTCCTGTTTCAAGTTCAGAATTTCATTCTGGTGCAGTTCTGTCAAGTCATTGAGCTGTTCTTCTAAACGTTCACACCTGCAGGGAACAACAACAGTATATCACAAACAGTTTTCTTTCCATCCATACAGACCTACTACACTACAGTGTATAGGATATGATATCATACCTGTATCGTTCCTCTTGCAGGGCTTCCATGATCAACGTGTAATCCCGCTGATAGTGGGCCTTTAAGTTCTCAAAGGACTCCTCCAGTCGACCTTGGTTTTCCCGGAGCTCTTGGATCTCATGGAGTATTGCGTCAAAGCCTGAGGCCTGGACATGATCAAGGGTGTTGCCCTTGGAGCTAGGGGGGCCTCCAGGGGCTCCAGTCGTGCTGTTGGCTCCTGCAGAGCCGGAAGTAGCACTAGAACAGTCATCATCGCTGCCATACTTTGGGCTGGACTGCAATTGTCCCGTCCCGAGGGCCCTCGTCGCCCCAGGACCGACACCTTCATCTCCCTGGGTTTCATCCAAGGAGTCTTTCAGGGCTGCAATGTTATCAGCACTGCCGAACTTGTTGCGGATGAGGGAGGCGATCTCTCTCGGCTTAGACACCACAGCTCCAGCAGCAGAATGAGTGGCTTGAGAGAAACTGGAGAGGCCCCCTGTCACCTGTAATAAAGGGGTCAAGTTCAGTACTCTACTTTATGAAAACAAGTTTAACCACGGTCACATTGATGATAAAAGTATTAATCACAGAGCCTGACAAATGTTAGCAGTCGTCATTAAACAGCCTTAAACACACAGGGACAATATGAGCTGTCATACCTTAAAGCATTACATGACCCTGCCGTTTTAGTGCAAAACAATCCACAGCTTTTATAAAATCCAGGGCTCTGAGCAGGCCTCTGGAGCTAACAGTATATTCTGCACCGTGGGGTTCCTTTCTTGAGATAATGAATACTTTCCACCCACTACTTTTGTGTCGTTTAAGACACAAAAACAACTTAACATGGTAATCTTGTTATAAACTCAGCCATTCCCTTTTCCTTCCCTGCACATTACTCCCATTTCACTAATAGTGACACTCGGAAACCCTTCTATAGGGCCGTCCCTGACTTCTGTCAGCTCCACTGCACAGAGGTGGTAACACAATAAAACCTGACTTCTGTCAAGACTACCTCAACCTCTTTTACTAAAATCAGTGTTACTCAACAGAAGAAACATTCATCAATTCAATTTCTGTAACCGATTATCCTGTTGGGGGTCGCAAGGGAGCTGGAGCCTTTCCCAGCTGAAACTGGGCGAGAGGCGGGGTACACCCTGGACAGGTCACCAGACTATCACAGGGCTGACACATAGAGACAGACAACCATTCACACTCACATTCACACCTACAGACAATTTAGAGTCACCAATTAATCTGCATGTCTTTGGACTGTGGGAGGAAGCTGGAGCACCCGGGGAAAACCCACGCTGACACGGGGAGAACATGCAAACTCGGCACAGAGGGGCTCCCCCACCCTGGGTTCGAACCGGGAATCCTCTTGCTGTGAGCGACAATGCTAACCACAGCACCAAGGCATTGAGCACCATAAACTAATTGCTATTTATTTCCTGCATGAACAAAACTAGCCTTAACTGGAACAACAGAGGAACTCGTTCAGATTTCTGTTTTTAAGTGGGACAGACTGCTATTTCCCAGATCTTTGTCACAGCAGACATTTTGACTCTGTTCCCCTTACATGTGCCAGTAAACACGCAGCATACTGGCACACATAAATGGAATGCAGCCATTATTCATTTGATTTGTTACACCTGTGTTTGTCAGTTGAAGTGTTTATCCAAACAACAGTATATTCTTTATTAAGATCTCTGCTCTCTTGGTCCCTTTTCATTTACTTAATCAACACATTTAAGTAAAATATTTTATACCTTACTGGAAAAAGGATTTTTAACATGTAATGTTTTGCCCATAAATCATGTAAAACCATAGAAATAGTGCAAGTAGAACACACATTCCCATTCAAATCAACATAGCAGAGCATATCCACTAATGCCTAACCTTGAACTGCCGCCACTGGGTAGTGGTCTTCTACAGGTCATTGCTGCCTTTTAAGTGATCAAAGGTAATGACATGTTAGCACAATGAATAGATGTATTTATAATTGGTTATGAAAGACTATAGCTGTCCATCTCAGTTTCAACTTAATGGCCCTTTCTTGTCCACTAACAATATAGCTACTCCACAACAGTTTGAAATGTTTTAAGAGTTACATTAATTTAAAAATATGTTTACCAATGCTTACCTGGTAGATGAGTTTACAGAGAGGCTACTGACTAGAGAAGCTTTTCAAGTCTGTGAGTTTGACCAGTAGCTCTTTAACACACCCGGACACACAGATGTTTATAACTCTGACTGGTATTACAGGCCCAGGCTACATGATGAGCATCAACAAGAGACAGACAAAAGGAAAACATTGGCTTAGTGTGTACAGTCGGCCAAAATTGAGCTAGTGGGTTTGACACACCTTACGGCCCCACTGACGTGTGTTGTCACTACAACAACTAACAGCAATCACCATTTTCTTTACACCGGTCAAATGACCATGGCAAACAGTTCAATTTCTGTTCTACTCTCATTCTATTTCTTAACATAAAACTCTTTAAATATTCCAGTTGGTTTACGCAACAAAATAACATTGAAGGCACCAGGAAATGACGCACCTTGGCTCCAACATCTTTCAGCCCCTGGTGCATGTCTCGGAAAACATCTTTGGGCTGGCGGGGAATGCCGTTGTGCTCCACCTCTCGAAGCTTCCGGTGATAATGCTCCAGCTTCCTCTGCAGTTGCTGGATAGTCTGAGCCGACTTTTGGTTCTTCTTCTCAAACACCTGTTTGATGCGTGCACTCTGCTGTTTGTCTGCGTTATTGGCGAGTTTCAGGTATTCTGCCACGTTGTCGTCACGTGCGGTTTGTTCAATTTTTATTTGTTCTGTGAGTTTGAGGATCTTCTGTTGTAGCTGGGCTATGGCCTGCTTCGTTCGCTGGGGGTCTGGGGTGCTGTCAACTACATCATAGCCATCTGCGCCGTAGGGGAGGGCGTTGGGTGACACAGCGGGGCCTGATCCATCATAACGATCTAGCTGCTGGAGAAAATGCGGAGAAAAGCTTTTGATCATTTCAAGTTTAATAAAACATAACATTAAAATCCATTTTTGTCATGATATAACCTAATCAAGCATTCTTGTGCAAGCACTGGGTGATGTAATGCTGACAGCACTTAGTTCCAGTACTTAATTTGGTGTTTATGATATTGTTTCTCTCTAGTGCTAAAAGTTGTAGAACTCAAACAGTATCTGATGTGAACACAGCTTAAAATCTGTTAAAATACAGTGTTGTAATGCCTTGTATATGAGAGTAATTTCTGGAAGCCTGCAATGATCTTACACTTAAGATATATTGAATTTATCACTACACATTTATAACAGCAGATGGCGCCTTTGAAACATAAGTTCCCTTTTGACGGTCACTTCACAGCTCCAGTTTAAGGAGTCATATGTGGAGAGCTGCAGTGAATGTTGTGGGAAACGAGCTCAAAAATAGGCTAAGTTAACTGAGCATTGTGAAGGACTTATGACATTGATTTAAATTTTACCCCTTAGGGAGTAGTTAAGTTAAAAAGCCCAGTGCAAGTGACTCAAAGCCAGAAACAGTCATCAGAGCTGTGAGTCTCAAACAGCGTCAGCAAGAGAGGCAGAGCAAGAGAGGTAAACCTTAAATCTTGGCGATTAAAACAAAATTAATTGGCCACATCATAAGAGCTGCCAGCCCCTACTGGAAACACGCCAGCTGTTGAGTCCTTGTACTCTGAAGAACTGGATGTAAATTATGTCTAAACCAGTGTAATTGTAAACCATAAAGCCAGAATAGTGTTATATTGTCTGACAACATACAGTACAAGAAGATGTCAAAATTTTGCATGGACAGGGGGGATTAGACAGAGCTGCTAACGAATAACTTTGTGAAAGAGATTCTCAGAGACCTAACAGTTTAACATTTACAAGGAGTTATTTTTTTAAAAAGAATAAATTCACAACAGGAACAAAACTGAATATTTTATAACTAAATGTTTCTAGAGCAGCAACAGTAACATTAAAACAGCAAAGTCACAATGTAAACCTAATGTCTCACTGGAAACAAAATAAAAATGTCAATAAAATAAATCATATTCCTGACATCACAATACTGAGTGAAGTTTAGAAAGAATAGTTGTTGTTTCAGCTTGTTAGTAACAATTTGCTATAAGCTGTAAAACCCTCTGAGCTTGTTTATAACATAATATTAGTGGCACTGGATGACAGACTACGGACAGAACAGATTGAAATATCACTTTTCTACATGTTTACATGTGGCTGATCAAGTGTATTGATAAAGTATTGGCTTTTTCCTCGACGAGGTTTTATTGTACTCACAGTAACAAGTGTAGTTGTCGGCAGCTCAAGTTCTCTCTGTCTCCACTGCATCTTTACTCCATGTTTGTGTGTCTGTGTGTGTGTGCGTAAGAGTGGCGCAGCAGCCAGTACGCACAGACAGCAGCACACGCTGCAGCACGATAATAAATTACACCCAAATGTAACTAACAGTTACAGATAAAAGAGCTGGTAACGTTGGAGCTTCTCAATACTGCGGTCCTTCTTAACTAAAAGCGTATATTAAAAGATCGATCTCAGATTTTACGAATCAATATCAGGTCCTTCCAGTGAAGATCGATTTAATCGGATGAAGCAATTATTTTAACACAACCCTACTACCAAGTGCGGCTTGCTTTCCACAAATGATAAATGAACCTTAGCTGTCGACTACAAGTAACAGGTCTTAATTTTCTTATGATAAACAGGATCACAAGGGGTGAAAAGTTTCCCACTTGCTTATGACATCTGTTGATGAACTTGATCCCAGCCTCAACTGACTTGCCAGAGCTGCGAACCCGTGCAGCACGACTCCCTCGTTTCATGATGTCTACTTTCTCCCAATTTGTCATTCCAGAGATTCTCCTGTCGTACTGCTGGCGTCTAACCCCCTTCTTCAATGACCCGATAGTGTGTAAAGATGTTTATTCGTCTGCTCTAATTACTGTGCCAGGCTTTATACATTATTGTACATTTTTAAATGAAGCTAGAATAAAATAAAGCAGTTTCATGTGTATTTTTTTTTGTCTTTTAATCTGTTGTGTCATAAGCATTTAAACCCCTACAGCGTTTTTTTGTTTTGTTTTGTTTTGTTTTGTTTTTCAGTAATAACACTGAAGACCATTCCTGGTTTCTCTCAACATTTAATGTTAAAAAAAAAACAACAACTCATCCCACAAGTTTGAGTTTGTTTGGCCCTGCGAGCCTTCTCTGACCTGAAGTACACTCAGAGAGAGCAAAAGGCTAAATTTAGAAAGGCTTAGAGCACATAGTGACCAACCACTCAAAGGCAATGGCTGACCTTCCACCGCTGACAGCTCATCTCTCCATTCACCGGTTCATCCGGGCACATCTAAACCATTAACAGCCTTTTAACACGTTTTGCACAATCCACTTAGTTTTGACATTGTTGCACAGATATTAGTGCATGACTCAGTTTTATCTTTTATTTTTACAGCTGGGTTGCAAACAAATACAATGCATGTGTTTCCTCATGAGTGCACAGTGTCTCTTTGTGTTACGATTTGCATCTGAAGGTTTTGTGTCCTGAAGCCAACTTTTCTATGAATAAAACATTTTAGGACTGAATTCAGTAAAATAATGCCAGGTTTTGTTATGCGAGTTGTAATACGCAACATATGAATTTAATTTTTTTTTTTTTTTTAATTATCTGTATATGAACAGGGATATAATAATATTGGTGGAACACTGAATAATGCATGCATGTTTTAAAAGCAAAAAAGAAACGATAAAAATCAGGGATTCTGTCAATGCTATCATTTATATTTTTATTTCTTTTATTGGGACAAACAGGTTCTGAGTTTTAGAAATACAGTTGTCATCATGCTTTGGGGGTGCAAGCAGGAAATATGTTGCCATGGAGCCTGTGTGTTAATTGCTGGCAACATGTTGTGTGCTTATTTTTGCCTATATTTGTTTACAGTTTCGAAAATTAGCATCTTGGAAAGCGATACTGCATTAATTATTAGCAGTTCCTGAGTCTGTGAACAGACAACAATTACTGGATCACTTCTGATACTGAAGAAAATATCTAAACATGATGAATACGTTGAAGTTATAAGACGCAGCTGTTTTCTATGATTTCTAAGAAGTGTTTATAAGTGACAGACCATTAGAGATATAAAGTGCAAGTCCAACTGATTCCAGGAGTGTGTGTCATGTCTGTGTGTTCAGATCTAAGTTATGACTCGCAGAAGGAGTGTGAGAAGAGAGCCAAGTGATTTATTTATTTATTTATTTCTCTGCCATGCGCCCCCACACACTGGCACTCTGGGCAACTGCCTATGTAACCTACATCACAAACCTCCCAGTGCCTCGCTTGTATCAAGACTGGAATTTCTTACTTCTGTGTAAAGAGCATACTGTTGCATGACCATTGTTTACTTCTCACCTGGAACATGTGACAGGAGTGAAACACTCACCTTGTCAGGCTCCTCAGTTGAGTGGTAGCCAGACGTCAGCAGCATGTCAGCAAGAGCTGGGCTGCTGGGTGTATCTGTGGTCGAGGAGGAGCGTGGGCGGCCAGCCTGCAGCAGGGCTTCATGGGTGCTGCGCCGGTGGATCTGTGGGCTACCTTTCTGGGGAGGATCCCCAGTGCCCCCCACCTTGCTGCGGCGGCTCTGCAGGCTTGTGCCTCGCTTCATCATTGGTGGAGCACCCCGGATCTGCTGCAGAACACGGCTCAGAGCTGCAGGAGGGGCGGAAGCAGCAGGGTTGTCAGAATCCAAAGGGAGGGCCTAGGAGGCGGGAGCGTCCCCTACTTCTGACCCTACATCAGTGGGTTCGGAGGGAGGGGCGCCTGTGCAGGACGAGACGGAGTCATGTGGGGAAACGGAGGAGCGTCGGCGCTGTGGCTGGAAGAACTGCTTCAGGCCATGGCCCAACGCTCCCATGTTCTCCAGGGCATTATGGGTGATTTTGGACAAGCCATGCTCAGACTCCGACGCCCTCCTGCCGACCTCCGGCTCCGCTCGGCCTCCTGTGTCCGGCTCCTCTGGACTCTGCTCGCTACTACCCTGATCCATCAGAGACCTCCAGTTTCACAGTGAGGTTCTACCTGGGGGTGCAGGGGACTAGCTATGCCCCGTCGACACCCCCCCTCTGAGCGACTGGTTGAAAGCCGGGAAGCAGAGGGGACGGCGCTCAGTTGGGCCTTTTGAGTGGACATGCATCTGTGGCTTGGCTCAATGTCATGCTTGTCTACCACAAAAGGAAAATAAAATGGAAATTATGACATGCACCTGCGAGTGATGAACATAAAAAGCAGCAGAATATAAAACAACACCAAGCAACATAGACTGGGTTGACACAGAGATGACCACTGTTTTGCAGTTTCTTGTTCATTTAGTCAAAGAATCATCTTTTTGCAAACAATTAATAATTTAAAAAAGCTATATTTACTTTCTGCTGAATGAAAACAGTAGGTATCCATTTTGGCTTAACAGCATGTGGCATGTCTGACAGTGCCAACCCAGTAATGCAAAAAACACAAAGTCTACAAAATAAACAGGCTTTGAGAACAGTTTCTGAAATGTCGATGTTTGTTATATTGCACATGTTGAGGGTTGATGCCTTCGGCTGTTTGTGAAATCACTTTCCTTTGTTCATTTCTGGGCATTCACGTCTGACTGTGCAAAAGCCCTCATGATAGTTGAATAATTACATTTCAGAAAGTATTCATTTTGGAAATTAATAATCAACATAACTGAGACTGTTTGGATGATGCTAACAAAGAGACTACAGAGTGTGACAAAATGTAAATGAAATTCTAAACAGGCAGTGATTTTTATCTAATTCTCGACTGATTAAGGTGTGCAGCGATCCACGGCCGTCTCCTCTTTGCATCTCATTTTATAACAAGGCTAAAATCCTGTGATGTAAAGGACCATTCCCAGACTTTGGCTCTCAGATGACAGATTATATAAGTCTTTTGGTTTACCAACAAGTAATGAGACAGTGAGAAAGAAAGCAAGAGAGGAGGTGAGATAGAGTGTGACAGAAAGCTTACCATCAGCCCAGCTTCTCCTCTACTGACTCACAACTCAGGATCAGCTACATGAACAGAAATAGAAACAAAAAACCTAAATAATATGCTCCATATAACAGAGAACGAAAAGCTTTCAGAAATAGGCACGCTGTAGCATCACACAGAAATAAACAGACCTGAGCACAAACCTTCAACTCAGTAGTAACTGGTAATAATGGATCTGTTAAGAGAAGCTGCACTTAAAAGCTTCAAACATGCTGACTTTAAGAAACTGTCAACGACCTAATGGACCTTTGTTTAAAATCTTACGAGCCAGCAGTAAGTTGATGCATCATGAGCCTTGTTATGTGAAAATGGCAACTATTATGCATTACAGCATACATGGCATGACAACATTAACATGACAGCAGCTCTAGACTCTGCAGGGCTCATGTGTAGCACGTACCGAGCTGGGGAGGGTTAGAGATGTTAGTCTGAGAGAGAGAGACATCCTGCCCTCCTTTTCTCCTGAGCCAACAAGCCAACAAATGTGCACCATATCTTTACATATCTATTTTACATTTTTGATCACATCAGTTTTAGAATTTTTTGAAGTACCTGTATGAATTTGACATCATCTGCTCCAAGGCCAAAATGTTCTAAAACTTAAAAATGGCAGACCAGGCATGGGACGATGTGAAAATTTAATGTTGTCATTATCCAGGCCAAAATACTTCCGATTCATGCTATTATCCCAATTATCACCAAAATATGCTTAAAATTCACGTGGCACTAAAACGTACTGGAATCACCTATCCTTAAAAGATAGACTATGCAGGATTGTCAGTTACTGTCTATAAACAAACTCGCCAAAAATATGCAAGTAAAAGCCAACCCCCAATTTACTCGTTTGGTGTTTTTCCTTGCTGTATTTGCGTTTTTTTCAGCGCTGGATGCCTGCTGTTTACAGTCTCGCACCTGGTAGCTACTTTTTTAATAAAGCCCTGACCTCACCTGAGCACTGTGGAGGTACACGCCCCTAAACGTCTCAAACACAGAAAATAAGAGGGCAGAGTCTCTGCAGAAAAATACACTGCCACACACTGAGAGTGGGTCATAAGTGATGATTGAGAGGGATTACTTCTGTATGAGTCTATACATTTGTTTTTTCAGAAAAAGCCTTTTTGTACCTTTAACGTTTCATTAAAAAAACAAATATTTTTATTGCATCACAGACAGGACACGTCTTAAAAATCAATCTTAAAAAGCCAGGCTTTTCAACTACTTGAAATACGCCAATGCTTGATCTTTTGTTTTTGAGGTTGGGACGTTTGCAGCATGTTTTTGCAGTCTCATATAGTTGTTGGTTGTTTGGGTGCTGCTAGACTCAATATTCAAGATTATCCCAATAATGGAAATTCACCAGGACTAATTTATTGTGAGTGTTTTTCATCATCATCCACAATACAATCCTGGAATTGGAATTGGAAATTCAGTACTTCAGTTATGAAGCATTCCCATTTCTAAAACCAGAAACATACACAGCTCAGCCAGTTCTGCGATGCCTCTGCATGCCTGAATCACATATTGTTAAATTAAACCTAAAATACACCCATTACTAACAGTACAACTTACGCTTTTTAAAAAGACCAGAATACAAATCATTTCTCAGTGGTTACAGTTTTAGACGTACCCTCCATTACTCTTTGCAGGAGCAGACAGACTGTTTTACAACAGAGAACCATGTTTCTCTAAAGGTAATATCCAAAGCCTGAAGTGATGCGTCTGCCTATGTAGTACGTGGATTATTTTGCAGACAAATGGAAAAATGATTCCACGAGTCAGCAGAGCTACAAAGTATCACTTAACAAGCCAGAAGCACAATCTAGCACCAAAACCCTATGAAATGCTCCATTAGTGATATGCAGTGACTCATTACTGCTGGTCCTGCTGTTAGATCTGCAGTGTTGGATAAGAAAGCACTCTGTTAAAGGGTAGGTGGTAGTGAATAGTACAGTAATGAAAGAGTGCCCTCTTACCAAGTCTCGCTTATCAACATGCTGCTTGAACAAAAGGCTTGATATTTAATTTGTATTACTGTCCACTTACTGCCGTTGCTACTTTCACTCATTACTCAGAACAAATAAAAATAGATCATTCGCATCAAGCATCACTCGCTCTGTAAGGGTTAATACTTTGACAGACTACTGGTAACTCTAAACTGCATACACTCAAACATAGGTTAACACAAGCAAACCATATGTTACACAATATGTGTTGACCCAGACTTGTCGACACTCTTGTGCGCAGGTTTGAGCATGTCACGGCTGCTGCTTTGTAACTCACATATGTCAGGTATAGGTGCACATCTTACTGGCTCTTTGATATACATGTCATAATACAGTATATAGACTATATAACTATGTAGCAAACTGATTCAACACTAAGCTTCATTTACGGATGTCTTCAATCGGAAATACGGTTACTCTTCAACCACGTTTCCTCGTCCTGTATCACTGATCACAGACAGAGACACAGCTATTCAGTGACTCAGTGCGAAGTCTTTGCAGTAAGCTTTATAAGCTCATAACTCAAGACAAGATATAGGAAGAGACAGTCCACACAGACATGGAACTATATCTCTCATCTACAATGAAAATACAATGACGTCCAACTCCTCTAGGCTAAGGGCAAAGTGTTCTCTTCGAAGTGGGTCAGCCAACATTCGCCTATCACTCTCTGTACATGCAGTGGTCCAAGGTCACACCATCTACAGAGTGTTGTGCATGTCGAGCAGCATTTAAGCTTTTACTTGTATTAAAGAAACATTTCTGCAAAATGACAGCCGATCCAAATTTTGATCTGGAGGAGTGTGTCCTCTTGGGTCACTGCTACAGCATAGGCCTACATGCACCTATCACCAAGGATTCACATTCATTAGTTTTAGATTGTGCTTAGAATAAGAGTCAATTATTTATGTTTATATTGAATATTCTCTCCATATTTCTCTTCTCTTTCTATTACTGGTCACATTTAGTCAGAGGACCTTGTATACTGAAACCTAGAGCAAACAGTGCCTTCTTTCAGCAGGTAACTACATTTTTTAATGCACAGAAACATGTGAGAGAAAACCTGTTTGGACCAATATTCCTCTTTTAAAAAGCGAGAGCCCAAGTGCAAATAAACTCACCTTCAGATGTGACCATCGGCAGATGATGAGTGGATCTATTAACAGAGGAAAAGGCGTATTCCAAGCGATTTTCAGGACCGTTTCCTCCGGGTAATTCTTACAAATGGAAAACTGGTGGGATAGCTGTCAAACTTTAGTCAGCTGTTTCCATGGACATTTAGAAAAATCACATGCTGCAAAGAAAAACAACAGAACAGAGGCAAGATAGCATAAGAACCTGTTTGTTAAGAAGAGAACTCTGA